AGAGAGAGAGAGAGAGAGAGAGAGAGAGAGAGAGAGAGAGAGAGAGAGAGAGAGAGAGAGAGCGAGAGAGAGAGAGAGAGAGAGATTACAGGCAGAGGTTACATCGGGCACTTTGCCCAGGATCTGATCCGACATTTCTGTGGCAGACATTGATTGGACATTCGGCAAGGGACTTCGCTATTGCGATCTTGGTCTTCTCCCTCGCCTCCATCTTCGTCTCGCCTCTCCCCCCATCTCTCATCCGTGGTATCTCCCCCATGTGCATGCGCAAGGAGGGACCTTTCTTCTGTGTATGCGGTCCCTCCTCCCTCTCTCACATGTGTGGTGTATGATGGGATGTCGCGTCAGTACCAGATAGGTCAAGTCATATCTTTGAGTCTTCCACTGCGCTACAGTGTGCTATTTTGTATGTATCGGGATGTACATTGCTTGTTGATGCTTTGCTGACATTGCATTGTCCATTCCAGTCCTTTTATTCACTCTGCGGATCCTTGGCTCCATATACATTCCCCAACTGGGCATGTATCACATAGCTGGCGCTCACTCATAGCCACTGCAGCTGCTCTTCTCCTCGGGTGGTGCACTCCTGGCTACTGCGGAACTTCAGCCTACTGGGGCTGAGTCCAGGTCCCAGGCTCTGTAAGTAACGAAAGAGCCTGGGCCTACCGGTTAGTTACAGGGGCTGCCGCCTGAGCCCAGGCCCAAAACACCCCCTGTCGGTTCGCTTAGGGCCGACGGCATTTTCTCAGGCCCGGCTTCACATAGGGTGAGCAGTCTTAAACCACCAGTACTTCTGAGGCACTTTTCTCCAACCCTGGAAACGCCCTGCACTTCAAAAAAAATGAACCGGCAAAGGACTCCTTTTGGGTGGCGCCACCAGCCATTTTGGCCCGGTACCCTGACCCCCAAAAGTTGCGGCCATAAACGAGTCACATATTTGTTTTTTAAGCGGGGAAACACACTGGTGGTTAAAGATACATCCACAGGTGATGTCCGGTCTTGTCACAACTTATCAAACACTTGTTTTATTGTCCACTTCACCTGCAGGGGCCTTAAACCGGACTGAGATCCAAGATTAACAATTCTCCTTACTCCCTTTCCTAGCAGGACAATTTGAGTCCCAGGCAACCCCTAGTATGGCTTAGTCATTCTCATGATTGTTCCTCTGCACAAAGGAACGTAGATTCTCTCTTCATGTGTGATGGATCTAATAACCCATTTCCAGATTTCAGTGGAACTCAAAAAAAGCCAAGAGTAATGGTGAAACTCAGGAGTTAAATTAAGAGTTGTAATGACCCGCCAAAACACAGACTGAGAACACTGCTGATTTCTGGGATTTGCCGCTGGAATGTATGCCTTGCTGAGACTCCCGCATTCCGCTGTGATTTCTAAGTCTGTGTGTGTGTGCGTGCCCTGCTGGTCTGCGTGCCTGTCTGAGTGCTTGTCGGCCTGAGTGTGTGTGTGACCCCCAAGGGTGCTTGTTGGTTGAAAGGCCCCGCTGGGCGAGAAAAGGTTAACCGACCCCCCATTTTTCACCTCAATTTATAAGAAAACCATAAGGCCATCCCAAGCAAACTTCACACCAATCTCGCTGGGCCGGTACTTACCTGTGGCCGTGACTTTGAGGGATGCAGCGGGGAAAACACTCAAGTAGCAGGGGTAGGCCCGCGACACTTAGAGCAGCGGGAAAAACACTCAAGTAGCAGGTAGGCCGGTACCACTCAAGTAGTGGTAGAAGTGTCGGGTACTAGAGGCCGAGTAGAAGAAGACGAAAGTTGGCATTTTTAGCACAAGTGGTTAACGGGGACCCCCACTTTTCGGCCCTGGGTAACGATGGCGTTTTTAGAGGCCCAATGGCGGTAGGGTAGAGGTAGGCCGGTACCAGTCCAAGTAGCCTGAGTCTAGGGCCTGTCCGGACGATATCAGAGCCTGCAATGATGTTTCCCTCCGAAAGGGAGGAGGCACCGGTTGCTGGGAGGCTGCTCGGCCTAGGAAGTCACCACCCAAAAGGCCAGCAGGCCACTATATCTTCGGGAGGAGCAAGCAGCTCCTCCTCGTTTGTGGTGTGCAAGGATTGGCGACATACTGCTGGAGCCAAGCGCTGGACTTGGGAGCGCTGCCTGGAGGAGGAGAGCAGCTGGGCGCTCAGCCTATGGCGAGCAGCCCAGCCTGTGGAGAAGGAAGAAGGGGGCGAAGGAGGAGAGTGGTACCTACCTAGCTATGGTGGACACCATCTTCATCACCTTGTTGGGCGCTGCATCTGGAAGGCCCCAGTTGGGGTAGTGCCACACCAAGGAAGCTCGAGGCAGAGTCAGGCATGGCGGCTTAGTGAGCAGCGGCATAGCTGCTTTGTGTTGTCCTTTGGACAGGAGTGCAGCGCCATAGCTGCTTTGGGTTGTCCTTTGGACAGGGGGCCAGGGCCCTTAGTAGTCCGCCATAGCCTAGGCATGTGAGAGGAGGAAGAAGGGGGAAGCCATGGCTATGGTGGACCTGTTGTGGTGTCAGCAGTAAGAGGGAACTTCGGATATTAATTCTGGTTCATCCACTCATTGTTATTATTATTATTGGAGGAAGAATAAGATCGGCGAAGTGAAGGAGGAGGAGGAAGGTGGAGAGAGAAGGGCGATTTGTCGTTGGTCTTGCTGGTGTACATCTTCTTCTTCTTCTTCTTCTTTCGCTCTTCTTTGGTCTCTATCTCTTTGCAAGTGCTTTCACTTCTTTTGCAATTGGGTGGCATTGTCTTTCATTGTGAACTTGCACTTTGGGAATGACCAGGATCGTAACAGAGTGGAACTCCGAACTGAAAGCAAGAGTGGGAAAATGTTAAAATTCAAGAAAATTTTCAGAACAAAAATAAAAAACAAAAAACAGAAGTACCTGGGGCAGGCCAACTATGCTGCAATGCCTTTATTGTTTTTTTGAGGATTGCACCCTGGGAGGGGGTACTGAGGGGGTTGGTACGAGCATCCTCCCGCAGTACCGGCCCCGTGGGTGGGTGCAGTCCATTGGTGGGGAGCAACAACCGCTGGAAACCGGGTCCAGTGTCCCAGAAATACATTTGATAGTATTGATACATGAATAAGAACTGGGGCCGTTGCCCAGCTTCAGCTATGGAAATCACTTAGATGAGTCGATGGTCCGAGTGACTGCCCTGTTCCATCCGGGGGGCTCCACAGAGGAACTTGCCGACCCCTACCATCCACTGCGGGTCCTCACTGCACCACCTCCTCTGGAGCGAGGGGGTACGGATGAGCGGCATGAATACCTCAAGACCATTGGCCCTTGGAAAAAATGTAAAAGGAAAAAAAAGAATCATCCAGTTATCATAGACTTCATCTCCGCACAGCGCTACTGACTCGTGAATTTGACGGTGGGTGTACATGGCAGGTTGAGGAGGTTGACTTCAAAGACGACCTTGGTGCTGCTACGGAACAGCTTGACCTGTTGTTTGAGAGCGACGAGAAGTTTCATCGGCAGTTTTCTGAAAAGGTCTCCCTCTCTCTCCCCCTCCCCCCCTTGTGCCCCCCTGTCCTCTCTCTCTCTCTCTCTCTCTCTCTCTC